TTAATTTTTATTTTTGTAGAGATAGGGTCTTACTATGTTTCCCAGGTTGGTCTTGAACTCCTGGTCTCCAGCAATCCTCCTGCCTTGGCCTCTCAAAGTGCTGGGATTATAGGCATGAGCCACTGCACCTGTCCCGTGTGTATTTTCAATCTGGTTTGCACCCAACTGCAGGGATGAACCATGCATTGATGCTCAACTCCCATACTCCCTTTAAGAGAAGGTTATCAGGGATCCAGAACCCTGGCATAGAGTATGAATCCCAGGCTTCCATCATTCAAGCAGGTTCCCAATTTGCTCCCACTGTTTACCTCCTTCCTGCTTTTAGAGCACAAGAGCTTAATGATTTCACAGATGGGTAACATTGTCAGCCATGGAAAAGACATTCTGCTACACATAATTGTACTTTGAAAATATCACTGTGGAAGTGTGTGGATGAGTCATAGACTTGACAGGGGAACTTCACATAGGCCAGGCCCTTCTGGTAACGATCCCCGCAAGGCTGAGAAGGTGGCCCAGGCCATGGTCCTTCACCAACCCTAAACAGTGGGTTGCTGTGGCCAAGCTGAAAAGACATTCTTTGCTCTATCGCTAAGCCCAATATACTTGGTTCACACATAGATGTTTAGCCTACAGTTATCTAAAATTCCTTCCAAGCCTACAATTGTAATTTATACACAACGAAAGCCTTGATTCCGTTATCTGGTTGTCTTGTACCATTTATGTGACTCCAGCTTCCACCTCGGTAATAATAAATTACAGATTCAAACTTCCAGTCCTGCCCTTTATCCTAAGCTCAATGCCACATCATCTAATGCCTGGCAGATGTTACCACCATCAAATTTAAGTGGAAATGTCTAAAACCAAATTCACTTCTCATCATCCTCTGCAAACCAGCTCCCCATAGCAGCTTCTAGCACAGCCATTTTTTCAACTCTCAGGACTCAACATGACAGAACTGTCTTCTTTGCACATTTGGTTCATTGCTATTAATTTCTGTTTCCCTAGTACACTCTTCATACTGCTGCCTATCTGATCTTTATTAAATGTTCTTCTGTGAACCAACATTGTCATTCTTGCTTTATAACCATAAGAACAGCAGTTCTCAGCCCTGTCTACGGGTTAGAGCTTCTTAAAACTTCCATTGCGTAAGCCCAATCCCTAGAATATTCTGATTCAGGGGGCCTGGAGTGGGGCCCAGTGGTCAGTATCACTGAGAATTAATGTCCTGAGCTACAGCACTTTTCAGACTTAAAGGAGCATGAAGTCATCTTTGGATCTTGTTAAAATGTAGATGTGGATCCAGCAGAGCTGTGGTGGGCCTGAGATTCTGCATTTGTTTTTTGTTTTGTTTCTTTTTTCTTTCTGAGACAGAGTCTTGCTCTGTCTCCCAGGCTGGAGTGCAGTGGCATGATCTTGGCTCACTGTAACCTCCATCTCCTGGGTTCAAGCGATTCTCCTCTCTCAGCCTCCTGAGTAGCTAGGATTACAGGTGCCCACCAACCACACCTGCCTAATTTTTGTATTTTTAGTAGAGATGGGATTTCATCATGTTGGCCAGGCTGGTCTTGAACACCTGACCTCAAGTGATCTGCCTGCCTCAGCCTCCCAAAGTGCTGGGATTACAGGTGTGAGCCACCGTGCCCAGCTGAGATTCTGAATTTCTAACATGCTCCCAGGTGATATTGATGCTTCTAGTTCCCAGGCCACACTTTGGGTATCAAGGTCCTAGAGCATCAAGACTAACCTCCCATTCTGCCTGGTTTTAAGGCCCTGGCCTCATTTCCCGCTGCTTCCTGTTCTCACCAGGCCAGCTCCAGACATGGACCCTCCCTCACCATCCTGGTTTACTTGGAACGCCTGACACCCTTCTCTCTGCCTGGTGAGGACTCTGTGGGTCCTCACCCCTCTGTCAGGACCCAAAGGGCCCTGGCCTTTACCTACCATTTAGTCTTCCCCAACTACCCCATGGTTTATTAATCCCTTTTTCCTCTAATCTCCCAGCACTATAGAAAGTGCAGTGATCCTCCCATCACGTACTAAGCTCTGCAGCCGACAGCAGAAAGAAAACTGGACTGAGAGAGATATGGAAATTGGGCACATCTTGTAACTGCTGGCAAGTCATTTTCCCTTTCTAAAAAAAAATGCTCCTCAGAAACTTGGTTCAGCAGAATAGTCCTAGGGACATGGGAGGCCAATTGTAATAAACAAATTGCAGACATGTCAGCAGCTAAAGCTATTCCTAAGAACATTCAAGTGAAGAGAAACTTGAAAGATCACTTGATCTCACCATCCCTCTCTCCGCAGATTTTACCAGTAGAAGCTGAAGCCCTGACAAGAGAAAGAGCTTCCTTAGTTACCTAATTGGTCAACAGCAGGTTCAGGACCAATGTCCACATTTCTGAGTTTTGTTTTGTTTTGTTGAGGCAGAGTCTCACTCTGTCACCCAGCCTGGAGTGCAGCGGCATGATTTCAGCTCACTGCAACCTCCGCCTCCTGGGTTCAAACAATTCTCGCGCCTCAGCCTCCCAAGTAGCTAGGATTACAGGGGCGCACCACAGGCCCAGCTAATTTTTGTATTTTTGGTAGAGACAGGGTTTTGCCATGTTGCCCAGGCTGGTCTTGAACTCCTGGCCTCAAGTGATCCACCACCTTGGCCTCCCAAAGCGCTGGGCTCGCAGGCATGAGCCACTGTGCCCAGTCATATTTCTGAGTTTTTGATCCTTCCGGATGTAGCATCTTCCTAAATGTTTAAGGGGGTCCACCACTGCATTAAGTAGATAATGTCCTCATGCACTGTGATTAGTTGGGCTGGATAAACCTCAGGAAACATTTAATGGCAAGATGTTACAAAAGGGCAATCTACAAGGTAGGACATTCTGTCCATAGCAGAATCTTCTCGCCTTCCACCAGAAACCGGGCCCTACAATCCCATGTAAGACTCCTGATTATCCTGCTGAAACAGAGTTCACCTTTCTTTCCCTGACATCAAGGTCCTCTGCAAGGGGCCCTAACCTAGCCTTCCGGCAACCCTCCCTGCTGGAACTTTCCACTCAGACTCACTGTTTCTCACACATACCTTTTGCCACTGCTAATTCGTAAGCCATGAGATTGCTTCTTGGGCATGTGGGTCCATGTGGACACGGTTAAATCCACTGCATGCCCTTTGATATCCTGAGGTCTGGAATTGAGCTGGGCAATTGCTCAGTGTGAACAATGGTTCTATACTTTAAGGAACTGGGGACACAATCTTTCCAAGATAAAAGCACTTTTCTTTCTTTTCTGGTTTCCTAATGCCACCTCAGGAGACGTTCCACTGTGTGGAGCCCAGACAATTGTCACGCTGTGGCCAGAGATGTTTAATTGGACTTTAAAAGATGAGAAAGCAGCAGGGAGTTGATTGTCAGCTCTCTGACAAGACCGTGTGGCATAGGTGGCCAGCAGCACAGAGGAGGCTGGCCTGCCCAGTGTCATGACTGTCTCTACCCCTGGGGCAGTGAGGGTAGGTGAGGAGGGAGGGTGTGGCAGCAGCATAGCCTTCAGCAGACTCAATGCCAGCTTGTCCTATATCTGGTTTCTACCTCAAAAACTGTGCTCTCTCAGGAGGTAACAAAGACCCCCCCCCCTCTCTTTTTTTTTTTTTTTTTTTTTGAGGCAGAGTCTTGCTCTGTTGCCCAGGCTGGAGTACAGTGGTATAATCTCAGCTCACTGCAACCTCTGCCTCCAGGGTTCAAGCGATTTTCCTGCCTCAGCCTCCCGAGTAGCTGGGACAACAGACACGTGCCACCACGCCCAGCTAATTTTTGTTGTTGTTGTTGTTGTTGTATTTTTACTAAAAATGGGGTTTCGTCATGTTAGCCAGGATGGTCTCGATCTCCTGACCTCATGATCCGCCCACCTCAGCCTCCCAAAGTACTGGGATTACAGGTGTGAGACACCAGGCCCACCCTACTTCTCTTTTTAAATTATTCTTCCTAAGACAGACTTCTCTAAGCCTTCATAGTAATAACTTATTTTTATATTTCTATAGCGCATTTTCATCTCCATGCTACCCTTTAAACCTCTGAGGTAAGTCAGGGAAAATATTAACACTTCCAGTTTATAAAGTAGTAAACTGGATTCATTATGCTGGGAGGTGAGTTTGCCAAGGTTATACAACTAGTAAATGGTTAAGCCAGAACTGCAGATCAGCTGTCAAAGATCACTGATGAAACAGTAGATAAAAGCTATTTCAAACAGGACAAGTATATGACTCCAATTCCTGCTTCTTAATGCTATTCCCTGAAGAAAAAAGATCCCTTTGTTATGACAAGTGTGTGGAGAGCAGACCATGCCCTAAAGGCTAATTAAAAACGGAGGTTCCCGCATCCACTCTCCATCCTGGGATTGGACCAGCAGAGACGACACAGAAACACAGACATTTCCAGAGCACATGAGGCTGTCTGTGTGCTCCACTGCCTCTAGACAGAGGAGTTCCTAGGCCCATGAGAAAGCTACTGGCTAAGGAGGACAACCCATAGGTGCTGCTCCGAGCAGATGACATGTAGAGTGGCCATGAACCCAGATCACCTCATTCATTGTCAAGATGAATAGGGCTCTGGCAGTTCAGATCTCCCATTAGATATATGAAGTAATTCTTTCACATTATTTTTCTTTTTTCTTTTCTTTTCTTGCATTTTTGGTGTTTTTGTTTTTGAGATGGGGCCTCACTCTGTTGTCCAGGCTAGAGTGTAGTGGCGCAATCATAGCTCACTGCAACCTCAAACTCCAAGGCTCAAGTGGTTCTCCTCCCCCCTCAGTCTCCCATGTAGCTAGAACTCCAGGCACACACTACCACTCCCAGCTTTATTTTTTTCTTTTATTTTTTGCAGAGACGGGGTCTTCCTATGTTGCCCAGGCTGGTCTTGAACTCCTGGCCTCAAATGATCCTCCTGCCTTGGCCTCCCAAAGTGTTGGGATTACAGGTATGAGCCATCACACCTGGCCTCACATTATTTTCCTAGGAAAGATCTGAGATAGGAGAAAACCTTGAACATGAACATATTTTCCTTTTGTTGAATTTTAAGGCTGCTGCAGCCCTCACCCTCATTTGTAACGACTTGTGGGTGTTTTCCTGAAACTGCAGAGATTAGTTTACATTTTCAACCCTTTAAAAAGTTGAAAGTTATCCTTTCAACATTGCCTGTGAAAACGTTTTCATTTTTCTTTCAATAGAATCTACACATCACTAAGAAAATATAGAGGGCAGCTATAGCTCTATAAGAAAACTGGCTAAGTAGAGGCCGAGAAGAAGATAGCAATATTGAAGTTAGGTTCTTAGATAGCTACTAAACCTAGCCAGCCAGAAACATCATCCCTTCTCAGAGAGCGTTGTGTACCTGAAGTACCGGGATCTCAAAATGCATTTCTTAATGTAGCTCCTATAAATTCATGATGATGAGAGAATACAAAAGAGACACTATCCTGTCCAAGAAGAACTTACAAACTAAATACACTTGAGAATAACCCAAGAGACTTTATGTTTCAAGAGAACAGTGAAGATATTTCCACTCCCTTTCTCCTCCTAGAAATTATTTTAAAAACAACAAGGAAAAAAAATGAAAACACAAAATCCATCTTTGATGAAACCCTGAATCTTACTATATGAAGAGAGAAAGCATATGAAGAAAGGTAAATTACTTAGCAGAACAGAGAAAGGTAAAAATGTGGTACCTCCCAGGATTCCAACAGCAAGCAAACCAGTTTAACCCTCTTTCCCAAAAGAACAGAATGTCAGGTGAACTGGGGTACCAGGTACTGTAAAAAGCTATGGTTGAGGTTGCAGTCTGATGACAGTGAAGTAGTTTGATAAACTATCCCTCCTGCAGATAAAAGTTATAAAATCAAGACAAATTTTTAAAAATAAAACTGTATGAGAGCACTGGATAGTGACAAAAATGAGGCACAAACTGAAGGGAAGTTAAACCTTGAAAGGTGGGAACTGCAGTAGATGAGATCTGATATTGGGGACTTTCTGCCAGGAGACACTCCCCTATCTGTGCAGCATGGGGTTAGCAAAAAGCTTCGCTTACAGTTTTGAGGTGTTAGAGGACAGAGTTCAGGCTAGCAAAGAGGGTGGAAAGTTACAAGGGAAATCTCAGAAAGGAAAGATCCATGGGTGGTATTATCCCAAAAACCTGAGTATGAGCTCTACCCAAATCCTTAATTGATGCTGCATTATCATTTCAGGAGGGAAACTCCAGGAGATCCAACAAAAACAGGAGCTACTGGCTGGAAGAACTTAATGGAGGTGTTGCTGTTGCCTGCCTCAGGGGAGACAGTTTGGAGTCTGAGTCAGTTAAGTTAAGGGATTTGGGGGACAAGTCAAGGGGGAGGGAAGAAATTAATAGAAGCTAGTCACAAGATGACCCCGATGTTGGAATTAGTAGACAAGAGTTTTCATTCTAAATATTTTGAATGACTTAAACAAAAATATAGGCATAATGAAATGATGCAGACTCTCTGAAAAAAAAAACTATAAAAAATAAAAAGTCTAGAACTAAAAAGTATATTATCAGAAGTAAAAAAAAAGAACTTATATTATCATAAGAAAAAAATTGTTTCTTATGCTACATGAGCATAAGAAACAAATTGAAGATGACAGAAGGCTCCATGAACTTGAAGATTGATTGGTACTAATTATCCAATCCAAAGTACAGAAAGAAAAAGAACTAAATAAAAAGGGACAGAAATTAAAGAAATTATGGTTGATATTGAACAGTCATAACGTAAGTCCCAGCGAGGAGAAAGAATGGGGTAAAAATAGGGTTTGAAGAAATAATGGTTGCAATTTTCCCAAATTTGATGAAAAATATCCAAGAAGCTCAAAAAAATGCAAGCAGCATCAGTGCAATGAAAAACTACATCTAGGCACATTATGATCAAACTACTGACAGCCAAAGCAAACTCTCAAAAGTTGCCAAAGAAAAATGACACATTATGTATCGACTGAAGAGCAAGAAAAATTAATGACAGGTGACTACTTCTGACTGAGAAAATTAAGGCTAGAAAACAATGTAGCCATGTCTTTAAAGTGCTGAAAGAAAGTCATTCAATTCAGCTTTCTACATCCTTCAAAAAGGAAGGTAAAGTGAAGTCATTTTCAAATAAGTTAGAGAACTGCAACCACACCACAGGAAATGGAAGAAGTTCTTCAGTGTAAAGAGAAGTTCTCCAGATGCTAGATGGAAAGTTGTCTATGGGAATGAAGAGCACTAGAAATAGTAAATATGTACGTAAATTTACAATATGGTACTTCTTCCTTTTCTCCTCATATTTTATTTAAAAGATATATGACTATTTAAAGTTAATATTATAATATTAGAGAGTTTCTAATGCATTTTGATATACAATATATGGAGAATAATTGCAAAAGGAACAAGGAGCTAATTTAAGCCAGTTTGCATGGTTCCCATATTCTGTGTGAAGCAGTGCAGTATTAATTCTAAGCTGACGAGGATAAGTTAAAAACATGTATTTTAACCAGCCTTGGCAACCTGGTGAAATCCCATCTCTACCAAAAACACAAAAATTAGCAAGGCATGCTGGTGTGTGCCTGTGGTGCTACTCAGGGGTCTGAACTGGAAGGAGCCCAGAAGTCAAGGCTGCAGTGAACTGAGATTGCGCCACTGCACTCCAACCTGGGTGACAGAGAGAGATCCTATTTCAAAAAAACAACAAAAAAATTATTTTAATTTTCTTAACTTCTTCAAACACCAAGAGTAACTACTAAAAATATGCAAAGAACTAAAGCTAAGAAGAACTAAAATGAAATAGTAATCCATATTAATTCCCAAAAAAAGGCAAGAAAAGAATGAACAAATAAATCATACCAGAAAAATAGAAAACAAATAAAAATGAGAGACCTACATCCAACCATATCATTAAGTGTAGATTGACTAAATACTATAATAAAAAGAAATATATTGTTTAAACTTGATAAAAGTTATAATCCAACTATATGTTATTTACAAGAGATATATTAAATACAAAGACACATATGGGTTAAAATTTTAAAAATTCTAAAAGAAATATCATGCAAGCACTAATCATAAGAAATATGGAATGGCTAGATTAATATAAGTCAAGATAGACTTCAAGATAAGGAAGACTACCAAAAATAAAGAACAATATTTCATAATGACAAAAGGGTCATTTCATCAAAAGGCATAGCAATTATAAATGTGTGGTTAATAACAGAGCTTCAAAATGCATAAAGCAAAAACTGAAAGAACTAAAGGGAGAAAGAAACAAATTCACAATTATATTTAGAGGTTTTAACACCCCTCTTTCAGTAACTGACAAAACAACTAGATTATTAAAAATCAAAATGATGTAGAATATCTCAATATGGCTATCAACCACCTCACCTAATTGATGTTTATAGAATGCTAGGCCAGATATAGTGGCTCATGCCTAGAATCCCAGAGTTTTGAGAGGCCAAGGTAGGAGGATCACTTGAGGCCAGGAGTTGAAGGCCAGCATGAGCAACATAGCAAGACCTATTAAAAAACTAACTGGGCATGGTGGCACATGCCTGTAGTCCCATCTATTTGGGAATCTGAGCACACCACTGCACTCCAGCCTGAGTGACAGAGCAAGACTCTGTCTCTAAATCACTAGAACAAATAAATAAATAAAATAGAACACTAAACTCAACAACCACAGAATATACATTATTTTCTAACCACGTTGACATTAAATTAGAAATTAATAACAAAAAGATATCTATTATAGGCCCCCAAATATTTGAAAATTAAACAACACATTTTCAAATAAACTATGCATCAAAGACATCCCAGCAAGGCTGCAGCGATTCCCACTGCTCTGCAAGCTTCACAGTGCCATCCAAGGATGACAAGAAGAAAGACCTGGGAAGTTAGCCAAAAAAGACAAAAACCCAGTGAACAAGTCTGGGGGCAAAGCCAAAAAGAAGCGGTCCAAAGGCAGAGTTTGGGACAAGCTCAATAACCAAGTCTTGTTTGACAAAGCTGCTATAAGGAAGCTTTGTATGACAAACTCTGTAAGGAAGTTAGTTTCTAGCTATAGGTTTATAACCCCAGCTGTGGTCTCTCAGAGATTGGAGATTCAAGGCTCCTTGGCCAGGGCAGCCCTTCAGGAACTCCTTGGTAAAGGAATTATCCAACTGGTTTCAAAATACAGAGCTCAAGTAATTTACAACAGAAATACCAAGAGTGGAGATGCCACAGCCACTGGTGAAGATGCATGAACAGGTCCAACCGACTGTACATTTGGAAAAACAAAACTTTATTAAATAAAAAAAGAAATCACAGGGAAATTAGAAAATATTTTTGAACTGAATGAAATAAAAACATGCCATATCAAATTTTATGGGATGCAGCAATGCAGTGCCCAGAGGGAAATCTTTAGTGTCTATTGCTTCTATTAGGAAAGAAAAAAGATTTAAAATCAATTATTTACGTTTCTATCTTCAGAAGCTAAAAAAAAGAAGGGCAAATTAAACCCAAAATATGTGAAAGGAAGGAAATCATAAATATAAAGCAGAAATCAATAAAATAGGCAACAGACAAATAGCATATAAAAATAAATCCAAACGTTGGTTTTTGAAAAATTTAATGAAATCAGTAAACTCCTGGTTAGGATGATCAAGAAGAAAGGAAAACATAAGCTGTTATTATAACAAATGAAAGAAAGAATAGATTCTACAAATATTAAAAGGCTAAAAATGAAATACTATGAAGCGTATTATGGCAAAAAATTAAAAACTTAGATTAAAGGAGACAAATTTCTAAAAGAACAAACTTACTAAAACTAACATAAAATCAAATCAATATTTTTAATACCCTGTATGTTTTTTAAATGGATGTATTATAAAAACCTGCACACACAAAAGAAAACCCAAACACACAAAAGAAAACCCAAGACCAGATTGCTCTCCCTTGGTGAATTCTATCAAACATCCAAAAAGGAATTGATGACAATTTTATACAAACCCCTTCAAAAAACAGAGGAGAAAATATTTCCCAACTAATTATTATGTCAACAAAATGCTTATACTAAAAACTGACTAAAGCATGAAAAGAAAATTATATATCTATATTCCTCATGAATATAGCCATAAAAATTCTTATTCTCTTGTTTGTTTGTTTTTTTTAAGAGTAAGGGTCTCGCAGTGTCACCCAGGTTGGAGTGCAGTGGTGCAAACATAGCTCACTGCAGCCTTGATCTCTTGCGCTCAAGGGATCCCTCCTTCTTTAGTCTCCCAAGTAGCTGGGAAAACAGGCACATGCCACCATGTCCAGCTAATTTTTTGTGGAGATAGGATCTTGCTATGTTGCCCAGCCTGGTCTTAAACTTCTGGGCTCAAGTGATCCTCTCACTTCAGCCTCCCAAAGCTGAGATTATAAATGTGAGTCAAGCCCCTGCACCTGGCCACAAAAAAATTCTTAATACAAAATTAGAAAATGGAATACAGCAATATATCAATGGATAATATATCTTGACCAAGAATGTATACCCCAGAATGCAAGATGAGTATAAGTCAAAAAATCAATCAATGTAATTCACTATGTCTTAACAGACTAAATGAGAAAAACATATGATGTAGTAAAAGAATTTGACAAAATTCAGTACACATTCATAATTGCAACTCTCAGGAAACCAGCAATGGAAGGAAAGTTATTATGGAAATGTAGATTAAAAGCATAAAGACATACCACATGCTTTAAATGTAGATTAAAAGCATAAAGACATAGAATGGTTAAATTTAAGACTGTCAGCATCAAATGTTGGCAAGGATGTAGATTACCAGAGCTTCCATACGATACTGTCAGGAATGCAAAATGGTACAATCACTTTGGAAAAGCTTTGACAGTTTCTTATGAAGACATCCATATACCTACTCTTTAACCCAGCAATTCTACTTCTACATATTTACTCAAGAGAAGTGAAAATGTATGTCCACAAAAAGTCCTGTAGATGAATATTCATAGCAGCTGTATTCATAATGGCCTCAAATGAGAAACAACCCAAATGTCCATCAATAGAATGAATAAACTGTGGCCAAGTGCAGTGGCTCATGCCTGTAATCCCAGCACTTTAGGAGGCCAAGGTGGATGGATCACTTGAATTTAGGAGTTGCAGACTACCCTGAGAAACCTGGCAAAACCCCATCTCTACTGAAAAAATTTAAAACTTAGCCAGGCATGGTGGTGCAAGCCCACTCATAGTCCCAGCTACTCAAGAGGCTGAGGCAGGAGGATCACTTGAGCCCAGGAGGTCAAGGCTGTAATGAGCCATGATTAGGCCACTGTACTTCAGCCTGGGCAACAGAGCAAGACCCTGTCCCAAAAAAAACAAATTGGGGTATACTCACACAATGATATAAATAATTACTCATCAATAAATAGTCTCAATTTCAGGCCAGGCAAGGGGGCTCATGCCTGTCATCCCGGAACTTTGGGAGGCCGAGGCAGGTGGACCACAAGGTCAGGAGTTCAAGACCAGCCTGGTCAAGATGGTGAAACCCCATCTCTACTAAAAGTACCAAAAATCATAAGAAGAAGAAGAAGAAGAGGAAGAAGAGGAAGAAAAGAAGATGAAGAATTATTATTATTATTATTGTTATTAACTGGGCATGGTGGCAGGTGCCTGTAATCCCAGCTACTCGGAAGGCTGAGGCAGAGAATTGCTTGAACCTGGGAGGTGGAAGTTGCAGTGAGCTGAGATTGCGCCATTGCACTCCAGCCTGGGTGACAGAGGGAGACTCTGTCTCAAAAAAAAAAAAAAAAAAAGTGTCACTTTCAGTACACAGACTTTCCCTTCATCTCTCAGTTTTTGCCTTCACGCTTCATCATTGCCATTGTTGAACTATAGTCCTGTGATAGTGGGATGGTTCCCACTTCTTCAGAGGCTACATGGGTAGCCTCTTTGACTCCTTCATGGGTGGCAGGGGGAGCAGTTAAAAAGGAGCAAACCTGATGCATGCAATGACATAGACGGACCTCACAGACACCATGTTGAACCATAAGGCACAAAACAGTACATAATACACAATTTAATTTATGTGAATATGTTGACAAACAACTAAGCTATGGTGAAAAAACACATAATAGAGGATGTCTCTGGAGGGGATGAGAAGGAATGTGAGGAAACTTTCTGGGGTGTTGGAAATGTTCTGTATCTTGCTAGGAGTGTGAATTACCTGGGTATAATTCATTTCTCAAATCTCACTGGATTTTATGCTTAATATTTATACATATTTATATGTATATGTTTTATGTTTAAAAGGGTGAAGAAGAACAAGAGCGGGAGAAGGAGGCAGAAGAGGATGAAAGAAAGGAAGCTGTGATGAGGGTATGGGACTGAGATTGAGACTTGTTTGAAAGTCTATATAAAGACAAGCGGCACCTCCCAGCTTCCCATTCCCATCCCGCTCAGCACAATCAACAGCTCCCACTGCTACCCATGGAGGAGTCAAAAGGTGTAGTCTCTGAAGAAATGGGAACAATCCCACAACTAGAAGACTCTAGTTCAAGAAGGTAATTGACGAGGCGTGAAAGTAAAAACTGAGAAGTGAAGGGAAAGTCTGTGTGCTGAAAGTGAGACTCCCTACACAATTTCAGAGCAACAGCAACCAGACATAGTTGTACCCTTAAGGCTGGAGTCTGAAGTATTACTTTTTGAAGAAGCCAAGTTACCCCAGATTAAAGATACTGATATTTCAGGTTCTCCAGTGAAAAAGGCCATCCTGTTTCTCTACTGAGAAGCCCATCATTAACAAGCAACACACAACAACTGAGTTTCCCATTAGTTTCCCAGTGCTTCATCCTAAGTATAAACAGATATTTGAAAAAAGCACTCTAGAGGAACAGGAGAGAAGAAATGAAAAAGATAACCTTGCTGGAAGAAGAAATCGCATTAAGAATCAGAGAAAGATAATGAGATGGTGCACTAATGAAACACAAGTGGGAGGGCATATTAAAAAATTAAAGAGTCATCATAGATTAATCACTCATCAAAATAAAAAATAGTATAGGTGAAATTAAAATTTTGGTTGAAAAAAATTAGTATGAGAATCAAACTTGAGAAATTTCCCAGAAACTAGAATAAAAGAATCAAGAGATGAATAATAAGAGAGGAAGGACAAGAAACTCAGTCAGTAGATCCAACATCTGAGAAATAGGATTCTAAAAAGAGATGACAGGAAGCAGTAAGAAGAGAATTACTGAAGAAATAATACAGGAAAATTCCCAGGTATGGAAGAGAGTGAGTCTCCAGGCTGGAATGCCCACTGGCCAAGGGCCTAACTGCAAGGTGAATGTGCAATGCAGTCATGCAGGGTGTGCCTGACACAAAGGTCCCTAGCCAAGAGAGGGGCAGTGGGGGCTGAAATGCGCCCAGACTCCACATGCCCTGTACTTGCCGTGCTAGCCTAGAGGAAGGGGAACATATTTCTAACTGGTCAACCCAGAGATTGATCTCCCCAAGAAAGTTCCTTCTGTTCCTAGAAGAGAATGACATTTTCTAAGTCACATAAAGATGCCTTTATGCGAACTATTAATTTCCAGAACAATGAAGGAAAAAATGTTTATAGCAGTACAATTTGCAATTGAAAAAATGTGGAACCAGCTCAAATGCCCATCAATCAATGAATGGGTAAAGAAATTGTGATGCCTATAGTCCCAGCTACTTGGGAGGCTGAGGCAGGAGAATTGCTTGAACCCAGGAGGCAGAGATTGCAGTGAGCCGCGATCATGCCACTGCTCTCCAGCCTGGCCAACAGTGTTAGACTCTGTCTCAAAAAAAAAAAGAAAAAAGAAATTGTGGTATACGTATATGATGGAATACTACTCAGCCATGAAAAGGAATGAATTAATGGCATTTGCAGCAACGGATGGGATTGGAGACTATTATTCTAAATGAAGTAACTCAGGAATGGAAAACCAAACATCATATGTTCTCACTTATAAGAGGGAGCTAAGCTATGAGGACGCAAAGGTATAAGAATGACACAATGGACTCTGGGGAGTCAACAGCAAAGGGTGGGAAGGTGGTGAGGGATAAAAGACTACAAATTGGCTGTAGTGTATGCTGCTCAGGTGATGGGTGCACCAAAATCTCACAAATCACCGCTAAAGAACATACTCATGTAACCAAACACCACCTGTTCCCCAATAACCTATGGAAATAAAAATTTTTTAAATAGTGATAATAATAAAATTTATAAAGAAAAAAAGACTCAGATCCAAGACATGAACACCAAGAGTAAGGAGAAAATACTAAAAACTTCCAGGGGAAAAAAAGCAGTTTACATATAAATGATCAAGAATCAAATGACATTTGACTTGTCATCAGTATATTGGAAGACAGTATGCTTAAGAGCAGTGCCTTTAAAATTCATAGAGAATGCTTGCAACCTAGAATTCTGCACACAGACAAAAGTAAGAGGGTAGAAAAAAGATGTCTTAGGATATGCACAGTCTCTAAAAGCTTACCTCCCATGTATCCTTTCTCAAGAAAGACATTAATGAAGGCATGTTTCACCAAAACGTGAGTAAGCCAAAAGAGAAGACATAAGATCCAGGAATCAAGGATTTAACCCAAGAAGAGATGAAGGAGATTCTCATAATGACAGTGAAGAGAATCCTAGGACAATGGCTATGCAGCTGGCCTAGAAAGCAGCTCTTCTAGATCAGAGGAGAGCAGTGGAATCCAGCAGGAACATCTGCAGGGGAATAAATGTTACTAACAGATTATCTGGGAGGTTTGACCATGTGGAAAACTACAGAGCTATTGGTGGATGTGAAAAAAAACACAGCCAGATATTTTAAGACAACAAAGCAAATGGCAAACTAAGACACATCTTTCCAGGAAAAACAGAAAGTTATACAAGAAAGGTAATGCATCCATAGTACACTACTTGGCTTGGGAGTAGACTATATTTCTTTGGTCATAATGAAAACATCAATTTTTGCAGTTTAAAGAAACTACCCCAAGCTCTTTGATATCCCTCTCATCAAATGGCAAGACCTATGTCCCCTGTCCTTGAATCTGAGCAGGTCTTTGGTAGATAGTGGAATATGGAAGAAGAGATGCTTTCGGCCTTCTGAGGCAATATCTTCAGAGGCAATTCTGCTTCTGCCTTGCTCCCTGGAACACTCACATGTTAAGAGGACTCCAGGTTATCAGGAAGCCCAATCTAGCCCACTGGGAGAGACCACATGGAAAACCCCTGAGATTACACGAAGAGAGATGGAGAGATGGCCTGGCCAGCTCCATCCACTGTCTGACTGCAAGTACATGACACCACCACTCAGTTGAGCCTTTCCTAATGCCTACCCATAGGGAATGTGAGAAAGAATTGAAAAATGGTAGATGTTTCAAGATACAGTTTTGTAATGATTTGTTAAGCAGCAGTAAATACCTGGAACACTGACAGGAGAGTTATCTAAATATCACTATATATAATTATATATCGTTGTATATGTAGAAATGTATGTATAGTAACTATATAACTATTTTGGGACTATATAACTATATTGGAATCTAACCATATTGGGACTATAGGAAGAGGCGGGGAGTGAAAGAGAGTCAAAATTCTTTATTTTAACTCTTTACATTTAGTAGATAATGTATAAAGTCAGTGAACCAGGAGATAGTTATATATACATATATATAAGACAGTGCAAAGAGGAAGGGGAACAAGTAAGAGTTAAAAGTGGTTACCTGGCCAGGCACAGTGGCTCACACCTGTAATTGCAGCACTTTGGGAGGCCAAGGCTGGAGAATACCTGTGCCCAGGAGTTAAAGACCAGCCTTGGCAACATAGTGAGACCCCCACCAACTCTTAAAAAAAAAAAAAGAAGAAGAAGAAGAACAAGAGGTAGAAGAAAAAAAATGGTTACTTTTGGAGAACAGACTAGAATGTGTGGTTGGCAGGGACTACTGTTTTTATAAGCGTCTGGCCGTTACTTAACTTTTTAATGGATGTTCATTTATGATTTTGTTAAAATAAGCATTTTTTAAAGAATAACAGAACACATGCAGAACACTTATTTCCCAACCTTCAACAGAGAAAAACATGGCCTAGAAAGCTTTTCATAAACACCACACATTTCTAGTGCCTACCTGGTATGAATCACTGTGATGTGCTATCACCGTGAAATAAGAGACATTTGTATACATAATCCGAGACCTTGAGACACTTGCAATCTTGTAGGGGAAAAAGAATACAGAAATTCAAAAGAAAAATGGCAAAGATTACCCTTATTTAATCAGGTAAGTGCTATGGACAGCCAGTGTAATAGGCACTGAAAAACTGATAGTGAGCTCTAAAGACGAGAGTGACTAGAGGGGGCATTGCAGAGGAGGACGGGGGCCCTTATCTTGGGACTAAAGATGGGACTTCGTGTCCACATCTTATTTATTTATTTATTTATTTTTTTTTTGAGACGGAGTTTCGCTCTTGTTACCCAGGCTGGAGTGCAATGGCGTGATCTCGGCTCACCGCAACCTCCGCCTCCCGGGTTCAGGCAATTCTCCTGCCCCAGCCTCCTGAGTCGCTGGGATTACAGGCACGCGCCACCATGCCCAGTTAATTTTTTGTATTTTTAGTAGAGACGGGGTTTCACCATGTTGACCAGGATGGTCTCGATCTCTTGACCTCGTGATCCACCCGCCTTGGCCTCCCACAGTGCTGGGATTACAGGCTTGAGCCACCGCGCCCGGCCCACATCTTATTTATTAACACAGTCATATTCTTTGGAAGCTCAGGTATCTCAGCTCCACTCTGTGACTCTGCCCACTCTACATTATTCTCACATATCCTTTCCTCTGTTCCAGTGCGCCAGCCAGTCCCACAGCACCATCACTGGCAATATTAATGATACGTTCCTGGAAGACCAGCCGCAATAACAACGAAGATCACTTACATGTATACAGCCCTTTACAGATCACATTTCATCCTCATAACTGATCACATTTCATCCCCATAACTGTGTAGTAGGCAAGAAATCATTTACTCATTGTACAGATAAGGAATCAAGAGTCTCAGATAGATTAAGGGAATCCCCTAAAAGCCCATGGCAGGTAAATGGCAAATTGGGATACAATATGTACTTTGTGTCTCCAGGGTTGGTAGAAAAGCTTAATCCACCCAAAACATAAATTGGTATAATTCTATGCATGCTGTCAGACCCTGTGGTCAAGCCAGAGCCATAGGGTTAGAGATGGAAAGAAAGGGGGAAGATAACTCCTAAATTTTCACTTTATCAGGTTTGTGAACTGCAGTAGAGGAGTTAGGATATAACTGGCACACTGTGGAAGAACTGCAGTGTCCACTATTCATTGGTTCCAATAAGAAGCAAACAGGGTTCTTGATGGAAGCAGCAGTGGTTAGAAAATAGACTAACAGGCCAGGCACAGTGGCACACACCTGTAATCGCAGCATATTGGGAGGCCAAGGCAGGAGGATTGCTTGAGGCCAGGAGTTTGAAACCAGCCTGGGCAACATAGAGAAACCCCATCTCTACAACAAATAGAAAAATTAGCTGGGTGTGGTAGCTCACAACTGTATTCCCAGCTACTTAGGAGGCTGAGGGGGAGGATAGCTCTAACCCAGAAAGGTGAGGCAGCAGTAAGCCATGATCGTGCCACTGCCCTCCAGTCTGAGTGAGAGAGTAAGACCCTGTGAGACCCTCAAAAATCAATCAATCAATACACTAGCAGGTGTGGGGGGTGGGGGAGAAAACTGCAAAAACTGGAAGCAAGTAGCATGCTCACCTCTGATAACGTAAGGGATAGAGTATCTAGGAATGAGCAAGAGGCTCCTCTTGCTCAGATCCTGGAGGAAAAACAGAACTCACGTTCACTCCCAGCCGGAGACAGGGAATTAAATAAGTTCTTTAACTTAACAGGCCTCGAGGGAGAGAAGAAGTAAAAAGCCAGAAACATCAGCACCACTTCTAGGAGAGAAAAGGCAAGGAGAGTTGACTCAGCAATAACTTTGAAGCCTGGGGATTAGCTTTCAAAAGGATAGGCTCACCAGAAATGATTCTAATATTACCCTCAACAGCCTAAAACAGATGCAAAATCCAAACAAACAAAAGCTGAAAAAGCTTAACCAAATTCCCAA